CTGCTTAAGCTTCTTGTATTTGTCTTTGACATGCATGTACTCGGTGATATCAGGAGCCTGATAATCTCTGAGCTGCCGTCTGAGTTTGTGGTTAAAGGCTTCAGCCGCTGAATGCTCCTGAGGAGAGAAAGATCAGGTATTAAAATTGGGGGTTTTAGATTCTTGAAGCTTTACTAATTTCAACAAACCTTCTCAGCATGCTCTAACTCCTCCTCTATTTTTGCCAGCATCTGCCTCACTTTGGCGATGTCATTGCTCAGCTCTGCCGACATTAATGTCACACTCTGCAGCTTTTCCTGCGCACACAGATACGACAGATAAGCTGAAGGTTATACTGGAAATAACGCCAAGAACACCATCAGACAAATTTCCAGCGAGTTACCTTGTGTGAGCTGAGAACACGCTGAACCTTCAAACTGTTGATCTGAAGTTCATCCAGGTTTTTGTCAGGTCTTGGCTCGTCATACTCCTGAAAAAATTCCTAGATGCAAAACGCAGAACTTTGCATTTACACACTAGCAAAACGAGCAAGTATATAAATGGTTACAAACATGTAAGACATTGACAAACTCTGGCAGCAGAGAGCAGACTGTACATTGATTTTCTGTCCATCTAGTTAAAACAGAGATTATGTTGTTTTTAATACTATAGCACAACAGTTTTATTGTTATTGAGGAGAGACTAAATAAAAATAACATTTTACCTCAGCGATCCCAACCTTTCTCTCCCAAGTGTGAATGCTCTGCTTAAGCTTCTTGTATTTGTCTTTGACATGCATGTACTCGGTGATATCAGGAGCCTGATAATCTCTGAGCTGCCGTCTGAGTTTGTGGTTAAGGGCTTCAGCTGCTGAATGCTCCTGAGGAGAGAAAGATCAGGTATTAAAATTGGGGCGTTTAGATTCTTGAAGCTTTACTAATTTCGACAAACCTTCTCAGCATGCTCTAACTCCTCCTCTATTTTCGCCAGCATCTGCCTCACTTTGGCGATGTCATTGCTCAGCTCTGCCGACATTAATGTCACACTCTGCAGCTTTTCCTGC